AATATCATAACTGCGAGACTGGATTCACTATGTTGAGGTTCACTATGTTTATCTCGCACGATCTGCTGATCTGTCTGTATCCTCCTGTCTAGCCATAACTAGGATCTTCCTGAATCAACTACTAACTACTTGTTGGCCCATTCTCATATCAATATTCCGTGTAATCTTTCTTGGGTTATTTCCTTTGTCTTAACTTACCTCTCGCACTGGCTCTTTATTTATCAAAAACATCTCGGGCTGGAACCCTTACTTCCTCTTCTTGACGTCGTGTTTGCATAATGTTCTGGAATCGTAGCATATCTGTAGGATTTGAATAAGTGCAATCTCATCCCTTTTTCATTTTTATCGTATTCTTCCTTTACCGTTCCATAATTACTAGAACCACTTAATTCTGACTTAATGCCACATCACTTCCATATTCCCCCCTTTAGGGGAGTACTAAGATTTAGTGCTACGACGATCTACCTATAGATGTTTTACCTCTTCATCTTTGGAGTCTCCTCACATCATCGATGACCCTTACTCGCCTTGCGTTAATCCTTCTGTACCAAGGATAACAAAATTCCTCACTCGCGACGGTGACACTTAGTGTAGGTGACACACAGTTCCTTAAGCTTAACTTTGCTCACATTGCTTGTTTTAGGGAAACGTCTTCCTGAATGACCATTCTCTGAATTTCTCATGAATATTCTTCTGTTATCCATTCTATTATTACCAGAACGCAATCTGCAATTCTCTTGATATCGACCATTATCAAATCACTCAGTCCCTAGTTCATGTTTAGTTTATCTTGTTCACCAGCCCATACTGGTTTATATTATTCTGGGGTCTAACATTTCCTTCTGGTATTCGCGTTGGAGTCACGAACTTATTTCTCGAAATGTGGATACGACTTTATCGCCGATACTCTTTTGTTGTCTCAAGGCCTGTCACCTCCCGTCTTTTCCTTCACTTGACTATAAACTCTATAATACTGTCATCTTTTTGATCTACCGTTGTCATCCATGTATCACATCTTACTCATAATGCTTCATTATTTCTCTTCTTATTTCCCTGCTAACATTTCGGTCTATCACTTCATTCTGAAAACTTCAACAAGACTTTTTTTTTTGCTTTTAGCTCTCTTGCTCCATCTACTGACTCTTCGCATTGCCTAACATTCTTTCTCTACTAGGGACGGGAGCCACATTAAGGTAATATTTATCCCTTCAAGGCTTCCAGTGTCTATCTTTGTAGTACTCATATCTAGCTGTACTATTTTAGAGTGCACCATCTGGGTGTCTCACAAGGAGATCTATTAGCACATTTGAAATATCCTTCGGAAACGTGAACTAACACAAACAATCCATCCACTATTTTGGGTCACTCTAACCCCAGCCGGATCCTGATATCCCGTCCTTCTCTTAAATCATATTTGTTGGCTCCCATGGAGCATAACTAAGATAGGTGTGACTAATTGACATACCTCTGTTACAACTGAAGGTAACTCAAAATGCTTATGTTTCTCTGCTTGAATTGTAAATACTGTTAATCTTCATTAACCGGGTACCTCGTACCATTCTTCACCTTGCTTGTTTTACTTGCTGAAACTTGTCTACCTTCCAATTCTCTTATTCCTTTTTATTGTAAGAGTGGATAGACATTCTTGCCTTAGGGATCCTTATCAAGAAGCTTACACATCTTATTACACACATGATCTATTGAATACCTCATATTTATCCATCGTAAGCATGATGCAAAAATGGAGTTCCTCTGACTCACTCTTCCACAGCTATATCTCTTACCAACCGTCTTTCTAGATGTAGGCACCGCCGTATTATGAATAAGATAGAGTAAATTGAGTTCTTACAACTTAGCTCTACCACACGATCTAGAGTAAGAAGAAAAAGTGACAATCCTAAATGCCCTGTAGCATCTTGCTTATAAGTGTGGTGCATAACACACCCATAAACAAGACTCTACTAGACACGGCTTGTAGACTCCCTAGGATAGAACTACTCTGATACCACTTTTTGTCACGAACCAAACCGATGGGCCGCGACGGGCACCTGGTACCTTACTCAACCAAGTACCAACATATTGTATCTTTTCGTATCATGCTAACATAGGTAAACAAGACGGAAAGCATGCCTTAGGATAACTAGGATAAAACATGTAGTACCAACTTATACATAAGACATACGGGCCTATAAGACCAAAACGATAACTCGTACACTAAACATAGGCCGACAAGGCCATACAAACTTTCACATACATGACATCTGTCTACGAGCCTCTAAGAGTAGATCAATACCATAAAGATCGGGACAGGCCCCTCCATATTAATTAATACATATCCAAATCATACTGACCAAATAAGCAACTCCGGAGCAAACAAAGCGCACCAACATCTTCCACTGAGCTGATAACCTACTTGGAGGACTCTCGACCTGTCTATCGGGGCCTGCGGGCATGAAACGCAGCGTCCCCAGGCAAAAGGGACATCAGTATAAATATTGTACCGAGTATGTAAGGAATGATAATCAGTAAATAATAGACATGAGAGAAACATGGAGTAAAAGACTCGAAATGTAAGTGAGGATAAGTGTGTAAATCATGAAATACTTATAGTGTCATGCATATGCATATGAATGTCATGTCGTGCATAGGTACATGTGTTCATAACATCATCAAGCCTCTGAGGGCATCCCATCATATCATCTCGGCCACTGTGGGTAAAATCATCAACGTATACCAGCTGATCAGGTGGTGGTTCGTATATAACGCCGTAACCTTTTCCCATATATATATATAACGCCATCTGGTCATGGGTCAATGTACATGAATAAATGAATGCAATGCATGAGAAGTACGTCAGTAAAATCTCTCGGAATGTCATAAGACCATTATGCCTTTGATTAATATCATGAAATAAACTTTATCAACTTACGCATTTTCTGAGACCCATGAACAGATGATAGAATAATAGGACACATGGGGAATCAAGAACATAAGCATCTCTAGCATTTCTATGAATATAGTCATTTATGGAAGTTGTGCATTTGCTCGTTTCGTTTGTATCGTATGGATCATGCCAAAAGGAAAGAAAGGATAGCTTAACATACCTGAGCCGATTCTCTTGACAATCCCTCTAACACACGCTAATTGCTATAAAACACGTAACGACAGATTGAAGTAGGAAAAAATCCGTGTGATATTCTTGAGAAAGATTCTAACGTGCTTTCTTAGAATTGCATCTCATGCATAATCGGATCTTGTATGAAATTTGCATAAGCTCATCTGTCACTTAGTGAATATGACCATCTTCAATTTGTGATTTTAGAGAAGCCTTTTGTTGTGCTAATCACGTTACCATTGAAAATTTGTATCAATCTCTCTTAAACAAATTAGAGAGGCTCCTTATTATAGCTTTGACCGTATTTTATCCCAAAATTCCAAACTTCGACGAAACTCATTTTATTCGATTTGCTTACCCTCCCACCTTCACGAATTTACTTATCACTTGTTTGAAATAGCATAATGCTTATAATCTCAAAATAATCTCATCCCCAAACTTACGTCGATTAACTTACGATGAAACTTTAACATACAAAAATGCGTGATGTAACATCTCATTTTCGAGCTTATATCAATTTATTTATAGCGTACTTTCACATATGAAAATATGGGGTGTAACAGATTGGCAATACGAAATGCTTTGTTAGAGGTTTGCAGTTTGCTATATACAAGGCTTCAATTGGTGAAGCCGACAGCTCGTTTTGTATAAGGTGCTCCAATTGGTTGAGCAGACGATTTGCTATATACATGACTTCAATTGGTGAAGTTGACGATTCGTTTTGTACAAGATGCTACGACTGATTGAGCATGCGATTTGCTATGTACAGGTTTTTCCATATCAACTTTCTGATTCTGAGGTACCTATAAATAATTTAAAAGTTAGCTTTAGCTGTACCACAAAAAATCTTGTAAAGGAGGAAGAGATATAACCTTAGTCAAGTGGCGGGTCCGTCATTTTCCCCAGTATGGTCTTAGTGCTTCCTTACTCCCTGTCGACCTTGCACTCAAAGAAAATTTCTTAGTGGAGGGGCAGGAAGCTGGTTTGTGTCAACCACAGTGTTGGTTTGCCCTGGCCTTGGACATGATTGCGCCGTGAAGTTCGGTAGATGGAATAAATTACTGTATAGGTATATTTTGTTTTAGAAAACATTTTGAAAATAGCTTGTTTTTTAAGGCCAATGTCGTCATTCCGGATTATGACATGTTATGAAAGGTTCTCCACACGCAAGCGTATCCTCCTGAAAACTTTGTCCTATTGATTTTGATCCTTCGTGATGCTTCGACAACGCGATTGCTTGTTGTCATGACTGTGTCCTAATTTGAACTATTGCATTACAAGGCTTTTCCTAAGGTTATGACCGAACCCTTTCAGGATGCCTACGTATCCAGAACAGAATCATGTCTGAACATAGTTTTTGGATTATGATGAAATATGATGAAAATGAATGAGCCTGACTTAGGCAGCCTAAGTATTCAAATAGAATCAGGTCAAAGCATAGTTCGATTACAACAAATGCAAAATGATAAGATTAAAAAATGACCGAGTCTGACTCAAACAGCCTACGTATCTATGTGGAATCAGGATAGAATGTAGTTCAATAACTAAAGATGACTGAATCCGATGAGAATTGCCTACGTATTCCTTTTCTGATGAAATCGAGCCGGAGTAGTTCCTAAGCAACATACAAAAGTGATATTTGGTTTTTCTATTACAAGAGAAATGAGGGGGAGAGAAACCAAACCCTATATGGGTTGCCTACGTATCCCTCTGTCGGAAGTTAGGTTGAGCGTAGTTCTGATATATCAAAACCTATCTCTATTTGTCTTCAAACATAGTATCTCTTGATTGAGTCTATGTTGATGGGCTTCGTGTTCAATCTTCCATCCATTTTTGCCAAGATTAGAGCTTCACCCGACAGTGCTCGGTGAACCACATAAGTACCTTACCAATTTGGTGCGAACTTTCCTTTGGCTTCTTCTTGATGGGGAAAGATTTTCTTCAAAATCAACTGCCCCAGTGTGAATTGGCGGGGCTTCACACTCTTGTTAAATGCACTGGCCATCCTGTTCTGATATAGTTGTCCATGACATACGACATCCATTCTTTTCTTGTCAATAAGTATGAGTTGTTCCTGTCTGACCCGTATCCACTCTGCGTCGTCCAATTTTGCCTCTTGACTGACCCTTAAAGATGGTCTCTCGACCTCTGCGGGTGTCACCACTTCAGTGCTGTATACCAACATGTACGGTGTTGCCCCAGTGGATGTTCTCATGGTAGTTCGATAACCCAGTAAAGCAAAAGGTAGTTTCTCGTGCCATTGTCTGTGATTGTCCACTATCTTTCGTAGAATTCTCTTGATATTCATGTTGTCTGCCTCGACTGCCCCATTCATTTGTGGTCTGTAGGCTATGGAATTGCGGTGGATGATGTTGTTTCAGACAAAATCTACCACTGCCTTTTTGTGATGTCCTTGTAAGTAGATGCTTCGACCCATTTGGTGAAATAGTTGATAGCTACCAAGATGAAACGATGTCCATTAGATGTGGCAGGCTTTATAGATCCTATCACGTCCATGCCCAAAGTGGTGAACGACCAAGGTGAACCCATTACATTTAACTCAGTTGGTGGAACTCGGATGAAATCCCCGTGAATTTGGCACTGGTGACACTTCTACACGTAGTAGATACTACCTCTTTCCATAGTCATCCAAAAGTATCCAGCTCATTTTCTTGGCTAATGTGAACCCATCATGTGGGGTCCGCACGTTCCTACATGTATTTCCTCCCATAGTCTGGTTGCTTCAGTGGTGTCTACATATCTCAACAAACCTAAGTCTGGGGTCCTCCTGTACAGGACTTCCCTGTTGAGGAAAAAATGGTTTGCTAGCCTCCCGACGGCTCGTTTTGACCATTAGTAGCATTCTTCGGGTACTTTCTGGTTGCAAGGAATCTCTTGATGTCGTGATACCATGGTTTACCGTCTGGTTCTTCATTTACATGGAAGCAATAGGTATGTTGATCCCTGATCTCTACCTCGATAGATTCGATGTAGTTCTTGTCTGGATGCTGGATCATAGATGATAGGGTTGCAAGGGCGTCAACAAACTCGTTCTGAATCCTGGGGACGTGCTTGAACTCAATCTTTGTAAACTTCTTGCACAGCTCTTTCACACAGTGTAGGTACAGAAGTATCTTGACATTCTTGGTGGACCATTCTCCTTGGACTAAGTGTATCAACAGATCGAAATCTCCTATGACCAAAAGTTCTTTGATGTTCATGTTGGCTGCCATTTTGATCCCAAGGGTTCATATTCAACCATATTATTGGAACAAGGGAACCTTATCTTTGCCGATGCTGGATAATGCTGTCCAGATTCCGAAATCAGGACTGCCCCAATTTCTACTCCTTTGAAGTTTTCTGCTTCATCGAAAAACATCCTCCATTCGGGGTATGATTCTGCAATATCTTCTTCTGCAAATAGTACTTCTTTATCGGGGAAATACGTGGTAAGCAGTTCGTTATCCCCATCCAATGGATTTTTTGTGAGGTGGTCGACTAAAGCTATTCCTTTGATAGTCTTTTGAGTTATGTACACAATGTCAAATGCGTTAAGGAGAATTTGCCATTTAGCTAGTTTTCCGGTAGGCATCGGCTTCTGGAAAATGTACTTGAGTGGGTCGAGCCGAGATATCAGATGACATGTAATGCCTTAATTTCTGAGCAATCCAAGTCAGGGCACAACAATTGCGTTCTATCAGAGTATACTTGGCCTCGTATGGCGTGAACTTCATATTTAAGTAGTAGCTGACCTGCTCCTTTCTTCCAGTTTCGTCATGCTGCCCCAACACACAGCCGAAGGCGTTATCCAAGACTAACAAATATAGAAATAACGACTTCCTTGGTTTTGGGGGGGAACCAACACTGGTGGGTTTGAGAGATACTCTTTGATTCTGTCAAAGGCTTTCTGGCACTCTTCTGCCCATTTTGCGGCAGCGTCCTTCTTCAACAACTTGATGGAATCGCATATTACCGTGGACCGGGCTATGAAACGATTGATGTAATTTAATCTACCTTGGAAACTCATGACATCTTTCTTCCTCTTTGGTGGTGGTAATTCCTAGATAACCTTGATTTTTGATGGGACCAATTCTATCCCCTTCCCGCTTACAATGAAGCCGAACAATTTTCTAGCAGGGACTCCGAACACGCACTTTGCTAGGTTCAACTTCAAACCGTACCTTCACAGGCGTTCGAAAAACTTCCTCAAGTTGTCCAAGTGCTCTGAACTCCTTCGAGACTTTATGATGACGTCATCCACATACACTTAGATCTCTTTATGAATCATGTCGTGAAAAAGAGTGTTCATGGCCGTCATGTAGGTGGCACCTGCGTTCTTGAGACCGAACGACATGACTCTGTAAAAATAAACTCCCTAAGGTGTGGTGAAGGGATTCTTCTCTGCATCTTCCTTGTGCATCAAGATTTGGTGGTACCCTGCGAAACAATCCACAAACGACTGTAGTTCATGCTTCGCACAGTTGTCGATGGGGATGTGGATATTTGGCAAAGGGAAATCACCTTTTAGACTAGCTTTGTTGAGATCTCAGTAGTCCACACATATCCTGATCTTTCCGTCTTTCTTGGGTACTGGGATGATGTTTTCCAACTAGTTTGGATGATTTGTGGCCCTTACCACATTCACCTCTATCTGTCTGGTAACTTCTTCCTTTATCCTCAGACTTAAAATAGGTTTGAACTTTCTAGGTTTCTGCTTGACCGGCGGTCTGGTAGGATCGGTGGGCAGTCGATGTGAGACAGTGTCAGTGCTTAATCCCAGCATGTCATTGTAGGACCATGCAAACACATCGATGTACTGTTGGAGCAGGTCTACCAGTTTTTCCTTCTGCTCGGCTTCTAGGTGAATGCTGATTCTAGTTTCCTTTACGTCTTCTTCATTTCCAAGATTGACCACTTCCATTTCTTCGAGTTTGGGCTTTTTCTGACTCTCCAACTTCTCGGTCTCTTATGGGAGATTGTCGGGCATCATGCTCTCGTCGTACTCCTCATAATCCGGGTCATTGCACTTAGCGGTTTCGTTACATATCATAATCGTGGACGCGGGTTTTTAGCAGTTTGATTACTGAAAGGAAAGCTAAGTATAAATAAAGTGGCAAATAAAGTTGCAATATTTAGGAAAATGATTTTTTATTTCATCAAAGAGGAACGTCCTCAAGCATTCAAAAGTGGAAAATGGAAAAAAGGACAGACATGGTGCGAGCCTCAATTGACCATGCGCTTTTCAAAAGGAAACTTTACAGTTCCATACTACCAAGACTCTTGGAGAACCAAACATGGACTAGCGGTCCAATTCCGCAGCTCTTCTCCTAGTTCGGTATCCCTGATAGTCGGTGTCATGATGTCAGTCCCTTCAAAATATTCTTCAATCATATTCACTAACAACATTCCCATCCCGTCGATGATATCATCTTCGGGTACTGAACTATATCCCGTACTTGCAATATGCTCTAGCACAAAAACCTTTTTCTCGAAGCTAACGGTATGAGCTTTCCCTTTCGGAGGTTGATATCCTATGCCAGCCCTTTCTTTCTGCCCACTATGTTCAACTGGCTCTATGATTTTGTCCGACTTGGCTCCCAGCCCTGTTCCTGGCCTGTATCCATATTTCATTATCTCCCTCATAGCCATTTTGGATCTATACAGCGACTACATTCCCAAGTTTTGTTCAGTCTTCTCCATCTCAATAGTCTGCATAATTTCCACCACATGGAAAGAAACTCTGTCTAGCCCTTCAATGAATAGGCAGAGTGACCCCACTCGATATGAACCACGGTCTCCTGACATCCACATCAAATTTCATGCATTGATGCAAAGTGGATGGCACGGCCCCTGCCATATGTATCCAGGACCTGCCCAGCAGCAAGTTATGGGAAGATGAGATGTCCATTACATTAAACAACACCGAAAAATCAACCAGCCCAATCTGCAAGGCTAAATAAATTTCTCCAAAAACATGCTTTTGCAAACAGTCAAAGCCTCTCACTCTTTACGTGGCTTTCCTTGACTTCCCTCAAATGAATTCCTAACTCTCGTAGGGTGGAGAGCGGACAAATATTGACTCCTGACCCGCCATCGACCAACACCCCGGACACCACTTTGTCCCTCCATTTGACAATGATATGAAGAGACTTGTTGTGACTTGCGCCTTCGACAGGAAGTTCGTCTCTTCTGAAGGTGATCATGTTTGCTTTGACCATTTTCCCAATTGTCGCGACTAGCGCCTCGCTAGTGGTATTACTTGGTACAATTACCCCACTTAGTAATTTCAATAGGGCATCCTTATGACCATTGAAACTTATTAATAGATCCAAGATTGATATTTGTTGTGGTGTGTTCTTTAATTGCTCCTCCACAGAATACTCTTTGCTTGACATTCTCTTCCAAAACTCGGTGACTTTTGGGCCTGTTATGTTATATTTTGGAATTTTTTCTCTCCCCGTGTCTCTTCAATTGACATCTTTAGGAGCGTAGCATCTTCTAGATCTAGTCATACCATGTGCTGCAGCAGAGTCTGTCATTTTGGCCTTTCCCTTTTGCTGGCATGTCCATGGGATGATTTTGTACTCCTGACCTTCTTCGTCTCCTATAGCAGTGGCAGGTTGCTGCTGATAAGTCTGAACTGTCACTGTAGGCCTCGATTGTACTGTAATAATCAGAGTCTTTTGAGGAGGGATCATGGCGGCTTTTGCATTTCCTACTCTTTGTCTAATGTGAGCATGTTAGCTCCCTGGTTTTGGCGATTTGGCAGTGGATTGTGATTCACATTGGGCGGTGCAGAGTGCACTTAATGGCTCCGCTCTTTATCAGGGTTTCAATTTCATTTTTCAACTTAAACAATCTTTAATACCATGCCCAGGTACATTGGAGTGGTACGCGCATCTTTTAGTGGCATCAAAATACTTGGAGAGATGTTCAGGAACCCTTCCTTTGACTGGATGTATCAATCCTTTTCTTCTCAATCTCTCGAGCAATTGGTCCAGAGGCTCAACTATCAAGGTATATGTAATAGGACCCCTTTCTTCAGAGTTGGGACGAGGGTGTGGTGTATAAACAAGTCAATTTTGATGAGTATTGGTTTGGAAATGAGCATATAGTCGTTGTGGGTTTTGGTTGTTGTTGGTTGGAGGAAGGTTGTATTGTGGTTGAGGGTGGTAATATGGCTGGGTATTATAGACTGGAGCATAAGTGGGTAGTGGTGAATGGTTTTTTGGGTTATAAAAGGTGCTTCCGTGATGTGAGTTGGGTTGGTAGTAAGGGACGATTACTGAGACCTCATCTCTCTTCTTCTTTCCGCTACCAATTGACCCTGACTGGATGGACTTGCTGGCTACATGCAGTGCTGCCATGGATTGTACTTTACCAGATTTTATGCCCTCTTCTAAGAAATCTCCCATCTTGACCAGCTCAGGGATTTTTTGTCCCATTATTCCCATCATATATTCAAAGTATATTCACTCCTAGGCTCTGATGAAATACTTGGTTAGTTCATTGTCGTTCAGCGAAGGTTGCGCCCTGGCGGCCTCTGAACTTCACCGACGTGTATATTCACCAATGCAAAACGATGAGGAGTGATCTCTGTATTGAATCGAAATCAATTCATTAAGTCCTCTGCCATATCTTGCCAAGTTCTCCAATTTAGTGGATCTTATCGAGTATACCAGGTGAGTGCTTCTACCGTCAAACTTCTTATAAATAACTTCATCATTAGCTTGTCGTTCCTCCCCACTCCGACTAACTTGTCACAATATGCCCTTAAATGTGCTTGAGGGTCCCCCATACCATCGAAGATATCGAACTTTGGGAGTTTGTACCCTGCTGGCATATCCATATCTGGATGACTACACAGATCCTCGTAGTCCAAACTTTCATTTCCTCGGGCAACTTGGAGGTTATTCATTTTCTTTCTCAACATTTGTAACTACTCAGCTCTTCTTCCTTACACCTAGCTTCTCTTTCCATCTCGGCATATTGGCCAATCTCATAAGGCACCCTGATCGTGACAAGTGCTATAAAGGTAGGTTCGAAAATAGCATACACAGGGGGATCGTACCGCGCATGGGTGGAAGCATGTGGCACAGGTATGTGCTGGTTAGTGGTGAAAGTGACTCCGTCACGAGGAGGGGTAGTTGCATTAGTGGTAATAAGTTAGTTTTGTGATGTCTGAGTTTATTGTGGTACATAGGGAGTGTGAATAGGGGGATTTGGTGGGTTAGCAGGGGTTACTGGAGGTATGACTTGAGTGGTAGGAGCTGAAGTTGGGTTGTTGTTGTTTTCCATGATGTGGAAGGAAAAAGGTCAGGGAGTGAATCCAATGAGAGGAATCGAGGCAGTTGAGGAAGTGTTGTCACGGCCAGGTGCGCCAATTCTCTGATATGCTGTACCTCTTTCCTTAAAGACTCAATCTTATGGACCATCCTAGCCATGTGTTCATTATTCCTGGTGTTGTCTTTTCCACCCGATTGCCTCGGCCTGTCAGCTATGGCCAGAGCATGTTAAGTTGTATGGTAGTTCTGCCAGTTTTGGTCGACACAAACCAACTTTCTTTTCTTTTTGGGGATAATAATAAAATAGAGGGAAAATAAGAAGAAAGAAAAGAAAAAGAACAGGAGTCAGTTTCTTCATTTATATAAGCAAGAAGTCACATAAAGCAAATAATTTGTGCATTACAACTAGCGCGTTTCCTAGAATTCGCAAGGACCTCTCATTGCCAGAGGTAGGCCTAATTCGCAGATATTTGACAGACATTTAGACTTGACACATTCAGATTCGAAGCACTTCAGACTGATACAAGTGGGAACAAAGATTACATCACTATTTCATAGAACTGCATGGGCTTGGACAACTTGCCGTTTTGGAAAGTAAAAGAGAAAACCAGGGATAAAGGTACAAAGTGGGAAAGAGGGGAAATCAACAAACTCTAATAACCATCCCATGAGTCGTTTCCCATATCCTTCTCTTCATCTGGCTCCTCCTTCGGGTCTTCCTCAAATTCCTCTTCATCATTATTGAATTTAGACTCCTCCTGCGGATCTTCTTCTAGTCATCGTCTCAACAGGTGGCAACATGTGGCCAATTGATCCTGGCACCACCTGACGATTCATTAAAGTGGTCACAAGGTAATGTAGCAGGATCTCATGGTAAATCTGTAAAGTAGCCACCGCGTCCTCTAACCAGGCTATACCCTCTCTGCTTGGCCGGGCTAGCTCTTCTTCCTTGTTAATCAAGACGTAATACTCAGGAGTACACCATAATTTTTGACCCATAGGCATTGTGACCAGGTCGTTCCACTCTTCTTGTAGCCTTTTTATCTTGGGAATTGGAATCTGCCCATTGTACTCATCCTCATATAGCGATATCCTTGTCCATAGAGGCACATCTTGGATCACCCCGAACTGTCTAAGGACCCGCAGGGGTGAGTATGGTTGAATACCTTCCAGTCTGATCAGCTCAATGAAGTATTTATGAGGAGTTCTCAAGATTGCCCTTCCATTAACTAGGATAGCTTCCAGTTGATCCATTCTCCTATCATATTTGTCAGTGTTTCCCTCCACTCTTCTTACCCATGTGGGGAGATCCAATGTCTCATTTTTTCATTGTGGCTGCGGATCATATTGCTGACGCCTATGAAGTAGTCGATGGTGGCCTCTCGCTGGAAGAAATGTTCAGTAGCCCAGATCTGAAGCAGCAAGCTACAACCTTTAAAATAATCATACCCTCGTGCATATGTAGACAAAGCCCTCAACATCTCAGCTAACACTATATGCACCAAAGTAGCTTGAAGATTGCCATAGAAGGTCGCCAGAACCACGGATAACAAGTTGAGGTTGATACAACCCCTTCATTGCGGGAAGACCAATAGTCCGAATAGTGCCATTGAGAAAGTGATGGGCCTGAGCCTCT